ATCCTGTCCGCATTCTCGGAGTGTGGTTTGAACCCGACTTTCATCTGGAGAAAAATTGGTCTGAAGTACAGTTGAAGGTCGCGCGGTAGCTCGGACTTGGCGCCTAACGAGGTTGTCCGTGAAGGGCAGAGGTGAGGCGTATGCCACTTACGTCTTTCCTCTTGTCATTTACCGCTTCTCTGTACTTCCTCGCTGTAAGGAACATAAGAAAGCGATCGAGCGCTTGCTATCTTCTGTTTGGGGGGGCAAGCATAAAGTCGACAGAGATGTCTGTGCCCAACGTCCTGGTCATGTTGGAGGGCAGGGGCTGGAAATGCTGCACTTGGCGAGTCACACGCTCGCCACAAGGCTGGCTTTCCTACGCTGTGCACTGACATGAGATTTGATTCTGGCGGGGATTGTGAGGGACGAGTTCCCTTTCCTTACTATCATTCCCCTCGTCTCGCGGACCGAGCGCCATCGTAAGCCCCGGAATCGATCGGATTTCCTTCACGAGTGTCGTTCGGCCTTTATGATCATTCCTCGGTCCAGTCACCTTTCTCGGCCTAGGAGAGTTTTCTCTCGGAAACTAGTGGAGAGGGCCGCGAAGGATCCACTACGTGAGAGGCTCGATATGTCGGAGGAGGAGTTTCGCTCCTTCTGGTCTTGGGCGCCAGCGGCGGAGTACCTCAGCAACCCTGAGTTTTCGCTTACCTGGCGACTGATTCGGAATATCCTACCTCTCTATGACATGGCCTTCATATGGGGCTTGGCGGATTTGCGATGTGAAACGGCAAAGGAAACGGCAGAGGACATCCTGCTACCATTGTCCTCAGGTCCGCCTCCTATGGGACCATGTCGGCGAGTTGACGGTTAGTAACGCCCCCGAAAAGCTCGTGCTCATCGATCGTGCGTACGCGTGTGACTGTGTCGCTCCCGTATTCCGGAGTGAAACGAATGGTGTTGCGATCACTGCTGGCCACGTCCCGAATGGTAATTTGGACGACGCGACAGGAGGAAGTCTTGCGAGGCGGTCGTCTTTCGCATCAGGATCTGATCCGATTCTTTGAGCATTAGCTGAAGATTAAGATTAGAACTGATAGGAAACTGTTTGTCTCGACAGTCTTCAGCTAGAGGTGGGTGACTGAGGCGAGCTTGGTTCGGCTGAACGGGGCTAGCCTTGATTTTCTTTTTTAGGTTCACCTACGTCACATCTGGGTGGTTTCCTGTGGAGCCCTCCCCTAGTAAGGTTAGACCACTTTTGTGTATATAGTTAATATGAGTGTTGTTCCGCGTTGCATCTTTTGTTAGAGTCCATGTCGTGATTCCTACCCTCCCCAGTTTGTTTTATGGCCCTTCCTCTTTTCATCTCGACCGGATCAGCTTTTTCCATGGCCGTGTTTATTTTATCCTTTCTTTCCTCTCCCTTATCGAGAGAGCCTCTTGATTTTGTTTAAAGGCAGAATACAACGGCCTCTCTTTTTCTGAGGGGTGGACTGGTCTAACTAACATCAATTTTGTTTCTTTTGTTTGCTTTATATTTTACTTTTGTTTTGTGGATCATCTCCCCCACCCTATCTTTCGTAAATTTTTATGTATAATTTTTTTTTTTTTAAATAGGGAAAAAATCATGAAATTTTCAAATTTTTCTGAGTGTATGAGGTATTAAAACGAAAAGTAAATGGAGGATTGATTGATGACGGATAAGTTCTTTTTGTTGAATGTGTTAAATTGTAACGAGTGAATGGGTCGTGAATTGGATTAGTTAGGTATAGGATAGCAGTGATGACCAGCCCCAGCCTACCCACCTCTTTTCGGCCTTGTGCCACACTTGTACTATTTGCAATAAATCTCGTGAGAAATTGATCGGCAATCATTCGCTTACTGAATTCAGGCACCTCGGCGTGGTGTAATGGTTAGCAAGCTTGTCTCGCTAGATCAGTTACAACTGAAAAAAAGTGAGTTCGATCCTCACAAGATGCCCCATACTTTCGGCCTTGTGCCACATCTAAGCTACGCTTGGAAAACATAATTTGAGTCGAGCTGGGATCTTTCCCAGCTGCGCTAATCGTACTCTCTGCCTTCGGGTAGAGAGGACCCGGACGAGGCTATGCCGAAGGGCAGAGTTTCGTCCGGGGAGGTAGACAGACCCGATCCCGTTTGTGCGGTGGTCTACGGAGATATTTTAGCCGAGCCTCCAGACATGGGGACCCCACTTTAAATTCGGCCTTGTGCCACGTGTAACTGCGTGGGGCAGTTACTAAATTAAATTTAAATAGCTTCGATTACTGAATTCATGTCATTCACACAATTCTCAGGTAAGTTACTTCAGGACATATCTCCAGCCTGAAAAAATAATGTTGCCAGCTACGTTTTTGAAAAAATAATGTTGCCAGCTACGTTTTTGAAAAAATAATGTTGCCAGCTATACGTTTTTTTTTTATTCAATATAAATAACTAACTCATGCCAGATAGAAACATTTAAAACCATTTACTTGAGTAAGAATAAACAAGCTGTGGTTTAAGGACGTTATCCTCAAATTATGTTTACAAAGTATATTTATTTATGTACAAACTGGATTTGGCATTTAACCCATATAGTGGTTGATATGCCATAAAACCCCAAACAACAAACCAAGCAACTGAAGAAAAAACACCCACTCATTTACTCGTATAGCAATCATTATTCATTCTCGCCAGTGAGAAACTTTATCAATATCAACATCTGATAACGGAAATAAGTTACAATATATTTAAAGTTCACATCAACATTTCAACATCATCTTCAAAACAAAGGCTTTACGATCAAAGAGAGACAACTTCTGAATGAACTGTGAATTGGAAACTAATTTACACTTAAAATTCAGCTCTCAAGAAACTGTAATTTTAAAATACACTTATAAATATTATTATCTCAACTTACACAAATTTTCACCCAACAATTTATTCAACACACGTTCTTTACAAAACAAACTAGGAAAGGACGTTGAACTAAAAATTTAAACTTCTACGTAACGTAACACAAAAAAACAGTTGTAACAAAATACAAAAATGCAATAATAATTTCAATACAAAACATCAGCACAATTTGTATCATTTTTTTGTCACTGATAAAAGATACATTTATTCTTATTATTTCATTGATTTGTCGAATTTGTTATTTCTCTTGTTGTTTCTTGAGACATTTCTTTCTTGAAAGTAAAAATAGTAAAGAAAGATTGAATTGAGGCCGTTCGATCCCCTACACTGGATGAGTCTGTGTTTGAGTGAGTAGTTGGTCAAATCATTTGACTCAAATGACAGAGTCCCGTATAAATTTCAGTTAAAACTGGTGTTTCTGCTACGATTAAGGATTTTGGAGAGTTTATATCACTAACATTATTTTGTTTAGTTTCTTGTATATAAAAATAAAATTGTAATCGTTGTAAATATTCATGTTTTTTTTTAATTTGTTATTTTTATTAGCTCTGACAAATTATGGGAATTAGTTAGGACTTCAAAGAGACTTCGAGATATTATGGCGGCTCTAGTAAGAATGGTAAGTAAGAATGTGTTGTTTTAGTGTAAGGAATACTGTGTGGTATGTTAGGGTCAGTTATCGTGGCTAGCTAAGAAGACAAATTGAAGACCAGCCTTCCCTTATCTCCCACTTTGGTCTTGAGCCACATTTTTGTATTTTCAAAACAAAATAAATATTAATTTCCTCTATGGTACGTAGACTTTATGAATTTAAGCGCAGTACTAGACTGGCAGCAAGGTCTCATCATTTTACAGTTGAAATGGTTAGAAGTTTTACGTTAGCAATTTCTTCTAACACATTTCTACTTCTTGTGAAACTTTCTTCCGGCTTCTTGTTTCCTAGTCAACTTTGATTTTCAAAAATGTAAATGCAATGCCAATCGTTATCTTGTCTTCTTAATTCTTGTTCTTTTATTGTTATCTCTCCTTATTCTTTTTTTTTGTCGTACGGTAAACCCCTTTGCGTCTTGGTTGCTTGGGGTGAGGTGAAATGAGTAAAAAAAGATGATCTTTCTGATCTAGAGTATTATATTTATAATAATACGAAAAAAGAAAAAAAAAGGAAAACTGATTATTTTTCATCGCAGTGCCTGTTGTGGCTTTTAGTTTTAACCTTTAAAAAATAATAAAATAATTTGTAAATTGGGTCGGTGCATAATTGTCAGGCGTTTTTAAACAATATTATGAAAAAAGAAACTTAACAATTCAACAATAATATTTTTAAATGTTTTTTTTCCGGAGCGTATGATTATCGACACCCATTTTTATAACCTGAAAATAAAATATTTTTATTAAAAAAAAGTAAACAAAACAGCAATTTTTATTAAGAAATAACTCGCATACAAAAAACGCCTGATAATTATGCACCAATCCAATATTTGTTTTAACGGTAAGGGAGAAAATAGTGTTTGTTTATTTGAGTTACTCCCCTTTAGCGGTTTCATGTAAATATACGAATTGTTTATGAAATAAATCGGGAATTACTTTTCGGAATAATAAGATCTCTTCAGTTTCTTGAATCCAAAAATTAACTGAATATATCGGAGTTTATATTTTTGTATACAGAAATGTATTAGATGAATATTTTGCTAAGTTATTTCATGGGTAGTTTCGGTCATATTATAAGTCATGTGTAAGTCAGCCATGTTTCAAGTGTCAGGTCGTGTTCATAGTCACGTGGTTAGCGAACGGACCAATGAAAATCGTTGTTATTCGTGAAACGCGGTCCATTTCCGCACGCTGCTGCATTTTTTTTTTCTTCTGTCAATAGAAGGAAGTACAAACAAGTCAGGTGACGAGGAGACATCGCAAAAGGCGAACCTGAATTATAGGGAAGAAGAAAAAAAAATCGGAATTTTTATGTACGAAAAGGATTAAAAAAAAGAAGAATTTATGTTACTTTGTAGTGTGATTTAGATTTATTTTTTTAAAACAATTTGTTAATTTTTTTTTGTCTGAAGAAAAAAAATCGACAACTATTAATTAATCAAACACCATCAATAATGAAGAAGAAGGTAAGTTTGTTTATTTGTTTTTAAGTCATAATTAAAATGAAAACAATGATCTATATATTTCCATTCTGCCAAGCTGTGCGTGTTCTTGGGACTAGAAAGACAGGTTTTGAAGATGTTTTCTGCGATAAAATGTGTTTCTTAGTCGTTCCTTACATTGACAAGGATATTGATGCGATGCTGGAAGTTTATTTTAAAATAAAAATAACCTACACAGAACCCTTTTTTTTTTTTTTTTTTAATTTTGTCAGAAAAAAACAAGTCAAACGCATTAAAAAATTTATAATATTGGTATATTTCATCTGGAATCATTAAAAACAAAACAATCTTATTCAATCTCGAGTAATTTAATTTCTTTATCTCTAACACGTTTTTGCTCTTTTTTTGTTAAATATTTATTTAGAAATCAATTTCATTTAATTTACATGACATCACTTTTTCTTTTTTGAAAGGAAATGTGTAAAACTGTAGTGTAAGCATTTTCTTAAGTTTAATTTCACAAATAATCTTCAAATTGATTGTTATTTTTTCAAATGTGATTTTAAAGAAGTTAATGTTTGTTTATATAGGTGCTATAAAAGCCGAAAAATGTTTTTCAAAAGAAATATCGAGTGATTGCTTTTAATTTTCTCTGAAACTTTCAACATGTGTTTGTCACTTTAGTTTTCATAGTGACTCTCACTGCTTTTATTAAATTTTCTAGTTTAAAATTTTTCAAAAGGTTTAAAAATAAAATTAAAAATATAAAGTAACTGTTCTCTAGTTTAATACTTTTTCTTAAAATTTTAATTTTAGCAATTACTATTTAAAATACTTTTTTTTTTTTCAATTGTTAAATAAAATTTCTGAGACTTCTCAAGGTTAGCTAGCAATATAAAGTTCCTAGCAATTTTGGTGTGGTCTTTACTTTCCTTCGGTATGTTCATCATCTGAAATTGGGATATTATAATAAAAAAACAAAAAACAAAACAAAAAAAAAACAACTGCAAAATCAGGACAAAAGTAAATTTAAATGGTCTTAAAAATCTTTATGAATTTTAAAGAAATCATCGATGTCCGGCCAATGAAAGTAAAATTATTTCTTAGCTCGGTCAAATTCAAAATAAATAAATAAAAAAAAAAACTATTCCACTTTTATTTAAATGATTTCATTTTTATCAGAATGAATCAAGTTATTTGATCTCTAAACGTTGTTTTGCTATTGAAAATACAAAGCTTTTATTTTTTATGGTACGATTGCATCTTTTTTCTCTCCTGGAAGCAATTTTACGTGTCACGTGTACGATTATATTTATAATTTATTTATAAACTGTCTGTAATAGCGACTAAAAATTAACGGATTTCTATCTTCAGCTTACTTATTAAAATTTATTTTGTTTTTAAAAAATGGTACAATGTCTTATCAACCGTCCTTTTCGCTATAACTTATGAATTTAAGAAATTCACTGTTTTTTTGGCACGTCTTTATCACCGGATTTTAAACAACATCCTAGTGGACCAGTTTCAGTGAAACTGGATTCTTACAATTCGAATCCTATTTAAAAAAAAAAAAAAAAAAAAATACCAAAAATAAGGGAATTGTCAGATTTTTAAATCAAATTTTCAGCACTTATTCATTAATAATCGAATATACACGTGAAAAACTTTATGGAAATACTTGTATTTTTTGTTTGCCGTTTCCCTCATTCGTAAACATTTTTTATAAAAATTGGTGTGGTTGATGATAAATATAGTTTTATAAAGAAAAAGTCTTGAAGATAAATGTCAATAAAAAAAATTAAATGAAAACATCTTGAAACTTTACAAAAATAATTTGGTAAATTTGCAGATAATGTCCCAGTGACTAATTTTTTTTTACATGTATTATTCCTGAGGGAAAAAACCAAAAGTCTGATTATTATAAAAAAAAAAAAATTGAGGAAACTCTACCGTTTATATTGCCAATCTTAGTTGAGTCTCGGATAGAGCCTGGCCTCCAGTGTTTACCTGAAGCAATATGTTGCTCGATTTCTGTTCCTGAGGTCAATCCCTCATCATACCGAGCACATTCACAGATTCCTGTCTGAGGCGACCCAACTAGGTAATATCTCCTAAAAAAAGTGTAGAGTTTCCTCCTCAGTTTTTATTGGAATTTTTATAATAACCAGGATTTTTTAACACCAGAAATCATGCATTTTTTTAAAATTGGTCACTGGGGCATTATCTGCAAATCTACCACTAATAACTAATTTAATAAAACTAAAATATTTTTGTGGGGAGTTGGCGCTTGCAAAACACATTCTCTCTGATTTGTCAGTTGAAAAAAATCTCTACTACAATATTTTTGAAAGATTTACTTGTAATTTTCAGTGCGATTTTGAAATCCTTCCTTTTGTTGAATGATGGCAAATGATCTTAACGCAGTAACCTACCTAACAAACTTTTACTTGTGTAAAATGGCTGGCAGAACGACAGGGATTAGGAGAGATAGCCAAAAAAGGGAAAATTTATAAAAGACATGTCATTGTAGATATTTCTGTGCACGGTAAAGTGAAATCGGCAAGCCGGTTTAAAAATGTCTGCCCGGTCTGTTACATTCATCATGTTTTACTGGATATCCTTGAAAGGCATGAATACATCTCTTCTCCCTCCAACTATGGGTTCAAGAGTAGAGTTAATTAACTTCTCTTGCCTTGGCTTAACAGCCAGTCTAGATGACGATGAGAGATCACTCCATTATCTTTCTGAATATGTCATGCCAATTTACAGAGTTAGTATTTAAGCAGTGAGAATTTCCCGGTTTTCCTATTTGTATTTTCTGATGAATCTTAATTCTTCAGTTAAGGATTGAGTAAGCCCATGGTGAGTTCTACGATATCTGTAGAAATTCCCTATTGCATCGTTAAATATTTGAGATAAACAAATTTAACAAAATATTGCAATAACCATCATAAATATGATTGTTGTTATTTTAAGAAGTAGGTACAAATGAAAAGATTTGAAATTGACAACTTTTTCCATTTAACTGAAACAGCTTTTAACACACTTCTATCTTTCCTTCCTTCCTTGTTTTCATTTTCTCTGTCTTTTCCCCTTTTCCCACGTGATCAAAACGCACTAGTCCAGTATTTATGAAGTATTGCAGGGAGGGACAAGCACAATTATAACTGGATAGGAAAGCTGTGGAGAACAGTGGCCGCTTACATAAAATGGTGAGAGAAACTGGACACTCAAAGATTAGTTATGTGTTTTAAAAGATGAAAAGAAAGCTTGGGAACAAAAAACGGATTACCTGAATGTAATTATCCATCTGTATCTATTATTTCTTTATTTTTTAATCAATAATTTCTGAGTATGTTTTTTGTTTCACATAGAAGATTGTCCTAATTCTCATTAATTTTGTGTGAAAACTCTTGTTACACTTATTTTGTCAGTTCATAGAATCATATGTAGCATGTCTAAGGCAAGATATCCTGACAGAGCCCATCCCTTTTCAGACTGGTTTTGATTTCATAATTGTCTCTCTCGATCAGCACTGGTATTTAACCCATAGCTGAGGGGTAGAAGAAATGATGTATATCTTACCGAATTATATTTGTGCGAAAGTGATGACAACCTCAGATAGAATTTGAACTCAGCTTGGTTTCTTGAGTTACTAACTATTATGCTTTTAACAGGATTAGATATGGCTGCCTATCATCCAGTTCACACTCCTCCTCTGTCTTTTGAACAGAAGTAGAGGTTTATCCCTTGTTTCCTGTTTAGGTTTTGTTCATATTCCTTCTAAAGCCTTCTCATTCTCCCTCCCAGCAGCCCCTTGCATCTTAAGGGCATTGTCATTTTGCTTGGGTTGAACTGATTAGAAAAAAAAAAAAAAAATGGCTACCCACACATTGCCATTTATTTTTAAATACCAATTTTTAGTTACACTATTTGCATCATTTGGACTGTTGTCCTCACCTTTATTGCCATATACATGATGTTTTGGCTGTTGTACTCTCTGGCCTTCTGCAAGTGATATACGTTGGAATTTCAAACCAATCCCTTTTAGTCCACGGGGGTGGGGTAGATCGTTTTAATTCCATGTGTCATACATTTTTTTTTTTTTTATTCCCTTTAGTAACTTGACTCTCCAAGTTTTTGTTCCCTCTGTTAATGCTAGGTATTGAACTCACAAATTGCTGTTTAGATTACTTCGATCTACTGTGCCATGTGTCCTTGGTGGATATGGCAGTAAAGATAAGCATAACAGTCCAGACAATGTAAATAGTTACAATAACTCATCTCAGAAACATAGACAGATTATTTTTATTTATTTCCTTGTTTACAGAAGGAAGCTGAGAATACCATGGAGTGAACATGTGCAACGACAAAGTTTTAGAAAAAATGGAAACCAAAAGGACACTTATACTTAACATCAGGAAGAAACAGTTGAAATTTCTAGGGTGCATAATGAGTAAAGAGGTCTTGGAAAATTTGATACTCACTGGACAGATTGAAAGCAAGAGGAACAGAGGAAAGCCTCACATAACATACATAGTGACCTTGAGTAAATGGATGGCATAACAAGGTTTAGGAGACATAACAAAAATTTATTAAGAGATACAAAGGACAGGAAATTGTGGAGAGCCTGAAGGAAGAATTTAACTTTTTAACCTCTTCAGCACCAACATTGTTTTTTAACTAACTCTTGAAACTAAATAGCATTGCCTGAAAACATTTAATAGTAAAAAAGGTGACATTATGTAAATACAGTCATTTGGTAGTTAACAAGCAAAAGTAGAAAGACAATATTATTTACACTAGATACATTTTTCGGACTGTTGTCCTCATCTTTGTTTCCATATTCATGCCTTTTTGGCTGTTGTACACTTTGGCCTTCTTCATATGCTTGGAATTTTGAATGGAACCCTTTAGTTTGTTCACTGGGGTAGATTGATCTAGTTCCACATGCTATGCCTCTTCTGGATGTATCAGTTCAGAGTTAGTAATTAAACTTTCCAAGTTTTGTTCATCTCTGCTGT